CCACCGTCCAAAAACGACGTTCCCATGTTTGGGTCTTGAAAACCCCTCCGCGGCAACCTGCCGCATCACCCAGCTGGGTCTGCTTTCTTTCGAGGGGGTGGGGGGCACTTGTTTCTGGTGCTTCTCAAGGGGAAGCCCACCTTTTTTTTTCTTTGTCTTGCTGGTTTTGAGGGAAACAAAAACCGAAACAAAAGAAGAAGACACCATTTTGGAGGGCGCCCCCAAAACGCGACGCCCCGCCGCAAAAAACACGCCGCAGGCCGCCTCTCGGACTCGAAGGCGAAGGAAGCGACGGTGAAGGCCGGGGAGGAGCTGGTGAGCGCGCCCCGCGGCGGCGCTTCGATTTCTTTCTTGGGCCGCGGCCGGTGTCCGTGGCTTTTGGGGGTTCATGGCTTTTTGTCCGTGGCCAGTGTCTGTCTTTTTTTTGGGGGGGGTCCATGGCTTCTTTGTTGGGGTTGGAGCTCCAAGGGAACTGCAGAACCCCTGGTGGATACCCGTTCTGATTTTGGGGGCGTCCATTTGGGGAGTGGACCGGAGAGAGAGGGAGCCACGCATGGTGGATGTCCGAAATGTGATTGGACCACGGCCTCGAAAAGCCGCGGTGTTTTCTGGATCTCGACGTTGGTCTGAAGAGAGGGGGGGAGGGGGGTGTTAGCAAGCGTGAGCGCAGCACACACACATGCTGGGTGCACAAGTGACATTGTGGTCTGGGCCTCAAGCACGCGAATGCATCACAAACGCAGGCAAAGGTGCGCAGACCCGCAAACAGAGTGCATCCAAAAGAGCCTTCGGTGACACTGTGATCCTGTTTGTGGGTTGTTTGGGTTGTTTGGCTGCAGTATGACTCTCAAATGAACATGCGCCATTGAAGGTGACGACATGCTTCCTCAAAACCAAGCAGTTGTAGAATCTTCTAAACCCCTCTTTAGGCTCTGCAAAGCCAAACAGCCCAAAGTACGATTTCGACTTCACCAAGCGCATGTTTTCAGACGGCACGCATACATCAACACGATTTTGGGGCCGTTGGTCGGTTTCCCTCAACTCATGACAGTTGGTTTACGTACGCGATATGTAGTCTATTAGGACATCAACTGTAGAGCATTTTGTCCCTTAAGCAAGTTGCACTTAGCGATTTGGGCGATAGCTTGGGAAAGCCGCGGATGGGTAAAAGTCAGGAAATGTCCTTTTGATTTGGGTGTCACCGCTATGTCCCCTTTCCATTTAAGGGGTATTTCCTAAAATGCAGGAAGACAATCTTGGTGTTTGCCGAACCATATTTTGCTTGGCAATGCGTCCAAGTCTGATAAAGGCCCATGTTCAAGAACTTTTCCAAACCTGTTGCTTCCCGACTTGCCGCATGTTTTAACCTTTCACAATACACTTCTTTTAGGGATGCCTTAGCGCAGACGGTTCTAAGCGGTGTTGACCTGCGCTGCGGGTATGGGATTCTTCAGTCGGATCTCCGGGCAACTCTCAGAGATCCTGCATAGAAACGCTTGATGTCATGAGCGGAGGTTAGATTGGCGAGGATCAGATCCTTTCCGAGTTCTGAGCCACTTTTGGCAGAGTCAGTTGGACCACTCCGTCACAAAGAAACAACCAACAAAGAGAACACTGCAAATCACGAAAGAACAAAACCACAGACGAGAGAGGGGATCAACGAGAACAAGGGGACAGCAGCATCATCAAGTCAACACCACAAAAGAAAACCACGTCAAATCAGCCACTACAAACAACATGAAGTGAAATGAACTCAGCCACCACATCAAATCAAGCCAGCCAGCCATGCAAAGAAATCCAGCTGCGCTGTGTGTCTCAACCCTACCCATAAGGTGTACCGCTGACGCGTTTTGTGGCGCCAGAAGCTCCTCCTCTTGCGCCTTCCGAAACCATTTTGCCGAATCAAACAACCATAGATACCATCAAAATCGCCACCAACAGCGGTCAGCATCCCAGTATCAGCATGACTGCATCGCCAGTGTCCAGGCTTTTCAGCATCCCCAGCATCCCCAGCATCCCCAGCATCCCCAGCATCCCCAGCATCCTTCCAAAATAGGCAGGTTTTGGCGGAAAGCTCGCATAGCGGGCATGCTTGGAAAGCGGGCCAACGGAATGCGGCAACAACGGCAAAGACGGTCTGTTTTAGCATTTTTCAGGGTTTTGTGGGGCTGAGAGGCAATGCCGGGGATGCAGTCTTCGACTGATTGGCGCTTGCGCGGCGCGCGCGCGCTTGCGTGACGCGCGCTCGGGTGGGTGGTGAGTGGTGGGTGGGTGTGGGTGTGGGTGTGGGTGTGGGTGTGGGTGTGGGTGTGGGTGTGGGTGTGGCACTGTGGGTGTGGGTGTGGCACTGTGGGTGTGTGGGTGGGTGGGTGGAAGGTAGGTTGCAACGCCAACCAGCGCAGCTGATGGCGAAGCCCTGGGAGAACCGCATCCCACACCCAACGAATCCACGCCCCGAGGCTTCAGCTGGAAGGCCGGCGTCTGCAGCTCCAAGCGGATGGCGCCCAGCGCAAAGAGCGGCGCAGCGGGGAGCTCGCGGCGCTCTACGAGGGCCAGGCCCGGAAGCGGAAGCCGAGTCTATAAGCCACGGATTCAAAAGGACTGGGTACATAGGTGGTTAGAAACCTGGTTAGAAACCTACTTTCCATGATTATGAACCTAGGCTCTTTTCAGGCTTGCTGAAGGCTTACTAAGTGCCCCCGATTGCTGCTTTAAACTGGAAGTCTGGGACAGGGTCGGGTTTCTTTGGGTGTCCGCTTGAACGTATGCATGGGGAGCCCTTTGAGAAGGACCCAACTGTGTCCACTTAAGACCAGCCCGGTTTTGAGAAGCACCCAGATATGGTAGTGGTGTAGGGGTGGTTTGAATCGGGTTCTGGATCGTCGGTTTGAGGGCGGTGAAACCCTAAGCCCTAGACTCTCAGCAGGAATGGGTTAGAATCCCAAACTGAAACATCCGACTTGTGGGTCGGACCAAAAATATGGAGCAGACTCTGAACACAGATTTGGGCCAAGGGATCCCGGATTTCTGCTGGGCCCCTCATTGAACTGGGCCCTCTGAGTGTCCTTTTGACGCTTCCCCATATGGTTCTTTTGTTGGGGTCCCTTCTTTCAGGCTGGTGGAACTGGCAAATTGGGCCCTGTTGCCTTTGTTTCACCATGTCGGTTCAGCAGGGCTACCTGAAGCCTCAAGATGATGAAAGCCTGGGCGGAAAAAAATGATCTTGTTTCCTCTTCCATGGTCTTTGGAGCAATTCGGTTTGCAACCGTGTCCTTTTTGGTTGGTTTGGCTGAAAAAATAGAGGGCCCTGGTTTACATTGTGCTTCAATCATCTACTGAGACCATCTATTTTCGAAAAGGGCCACCTGTGTTTCTAGGGCTGATTCCCCATTCTTTTCAACCATCGTTCTTTCCAAAAGCCAGCCGATTTTCCCTGGGTTTCCGGAGTTTGTCTAGAAAGACGGATCCCTGAAAGAATGGTTGGAAGGTACCCTTATGTTTGCAGCCATGTTGTTTCTTGGTGGCTCCCAGCCATCCGGTTCCTTAGCTTTTTCGCCTTTTAGTGTTTAGTGGTAGTTTCCATTCAAAATCTGAGGGCAGCCCAGGTTTGGTTCTCCGCCATGGCCTTCCTGGTTTTGGCTGGGTTCCCACTTATTTGCCACTGTCAGGCTCGGGCGGCGGAGGCCTACATCAAGAGCCCGCGCCCGAGCATGTGGCACTGGGGGGGGGGGGGGGGGGGTTGGACACCCTCGCCCCCCCCCCGCCAAAATGATGGTTTCCTTCTTTCCCTTTTCAAAGCACCGAAAAAAACCCAGGGGGGGGGGGTGCTGCCAAACGAAAACTGAAAAAAACAGCACCCATTAAAATGGGGTGCCCGAAATTACAATCCTTTCTGCCCCCCAACGTACAACGATTTTGGAGACCAGCCCTTTCGACCCCCATTGCCTTAGTTTAAAGGGAACCAACAGGAGATCACCATCCTTCGCTTGTGGGTTTCCTTCGTGGCGCTGGCCTTCCAAACCCCACGCCCGGCCAAGACCATTTTGGGATTTTCTTTGACCAGCAGACAGACAAACGCCACTGCCAGCAAGGGACCCTTTCTGCTTGAAAGAAGGCCGTGGCCCGTTCAGACCAACCAACCTATCGGCCCAATCTCCCGGCCATCCGGTTCCTGAGCTTTTTAGCCGTTTAGGGTTTAGGGTTTAGGGTTTAGGATGTTCATTCAACCCGCTAAGAGTTAAACTTTTCGCGGGGGATCTGAGGGTGGAGAATGCTCCGAGGCCTCAAGGGCTGCGGCCAAAACCTGGAGCCGCAGCTCAAGGCCGAGCGAGCGAGCAAGCCGACGGTGAGACCCGTGGGGTTTTGCTTTCATATGGGTATGGATCAAAATTGAGCCATCAAAAAAACCGCAGGCTTTGGTTCTTGGCTCCATTTACCAGGGTTCCGTTTTTGGGCACCTAATTTTGACCCGCACCCATATGGATGGACAAAATCCATTTCGCACCACCTAGGAAGCCCTGGAATGGTCTGATTCCCTGTAAATACCCAACAAACAGTGGTTTCAACCATGGTTTCTTAGGTGGTGCAGGATGTCGTCAATCCACAGTATGGGCGGCTTCATTTGGTTGGTGCTTTCTTCCCGATCTGGGTGGTTAAACAGGATGAGTGAACACATAAGCCATGGTTGATGAATAGGGTGACCCCCTTTAGAGGGAATACTTGACTTTTCTCTGGAAAGAGGGGTTTTTAATAGTCCTCCCGGTTGAGGACAATCCGGGGTGAGGCCTTGTAGTAGTCAGGTCCAGTTTCTATGTGACCAGGTCAATTGTGACAATCTTGTCAGAGGTGGCAGGTTGTTGAAAACCACCAACTAAGTGGCCCCTAAAAGCACAAGGTTCCTCTTCGAGGTATGCGAACCTGACATGCAAGCGGCATGTGCAGGTTGGCAGGTGGGCAGTGCACACCCTTCGATTGTTGGCTTTCTGGCTGAGCTCACAACGAAGAGCCCAGCTGGGTTTGAGACTTGCCACTGGCAGGTCACGCGTGGAACATTAAAGGTTTGGTCACGTCTAGTTTGGCTCTCGGCGCGGGTGAGCCCTCCAAAAAGTCGTCCAGGTAGTACCCCTCAGAGCGGGAATGAACCTGAAAGGAAACCACCCCCAGATGTCTTGCGCCCCTGGCCCCCCCGCTCGCTCTCTTCGCTCTCTAGGCGGACGCCCAGGCGCTGCGGGACGCCGAGCTGGTCTTCGCTGGGGAGAGCCCTGCGCGGGCGCCGGGTCGAAGCGCCGCTTATTCTCTGCGGCTTCGCCATGCCTTAATACGAGTGATGCCTTGGCCCCAAAAGGATGGCCATGATTGTTTTTTTTTTTTTCATATGGAGCCACCTGCATGGTGGTGGACATAAATCCCCAAATGATGTTTACAGGGTCCCTGATTGTGAAATTCACACCCAGATAGCCTCAGAACGGGCACCGTCCAGAAAGACGCACCAAGAAAGCGCCCAAAACAAGAAAGGGGCAACCCGCCCCCCCCCCCCCGGCATGCCGGGGCCTTCTTGCAACTCATGGGGCTGAAAATCGATCGCCGCGGAGTCCGAGTTTGGAGAGTGAGTGGCCCCGGATCCTTTGGCAAAATATGCCCAGGGAAGCGAGGAGCATGTTGGAAGGAACCTCAGGCGGTCCAGGGAAGGGCATCGACTTAAGGGCAGTGCTTCTTGCACCCTTGGTGGTCCTTTGTCTATGTGTGTTCGTGAAATTCCGCCAGGGAATTTCACCTTGGAAGTTGCCCCATTTCGCACTATCTCGAGGAAAATGTGCGGAACAACTATTGGGTCATCCAGCAGAAAACCCTTGCAGTGGTTCGCCTTAGCCATCGTCAAAGGGGCCTGGCTTGGTTGGACATTGGGATTCACGCGCCGCTGACCTTGGCTGAAAGATGGGAGGGCCAATCCACTCCTCGAAAGGAGTCTTTTGGTTCCTTCCCTCACTAGATCATCCTTTCGGCGGAAATCAACCTGGGCAGAATAGACAACGGCCGTTCAACGGCAGGAACTTAACATGGTCCGAGTCTGGAAAATCTTCAAATCCGAACTTCTGAGCTCGCAAAGAGTCATAGCGCCGCAAACTCCCCAGGCCCCGCGGGTGCTGCGGGGCGCCAAGAACCTCTCGCCGGAAAGCCTGGTGTGCGGGGAGGTCTCATTGACTTTGACTGCCTAGGTGCTCCAAGTGGCAGGTTTCGTTGAGCGTTTCTTTGTTTCTTGGTCGGTTGGCTGGCTGGTTGGCTGGCTGGCTGGCCGGCTGGTTGGGAGGCGTCTTGCCAATTCGATTGAATCGGACGCACAGGCTTTCCAACAGATGTCAGCTCAACGAAGCATGTGGATATCGCGTGTACACTGTGTCCTTTTGTGGCATGCTGACCAGGGTTCTTTGTACTCTTAATTTGCTTCCTGTGGCCTGCCTTTCCTTCCTCCGCATTTCATTTCGCCCTTGCTTCAATCCACCGGATCTTTGCATTTTTGCACCCCACAAGCCACAGGGAAGCTCATTTAGAGAATCCCCGGATCTTTTTTCCGAATTAGCACCACAAAAACACCAGTACAGTATATTTGCTTTTTTTTGGGGGGGTTCTCAGAAGAGACATGCTGAGTTTTTTGGGGTTCTCAGAAAAGCACACACATGTTGGTTCTTTGGGGTTCGCAGAAAAGAAAACACCTTTGCTTTTTTGTTTGTTGGCCATTGGTTTTCCCATCAATTCACCCGCCCGCCGTTGCCCGTGTTTCGTCTTGAGGCCCGTGGAGTCGGCGGCCCTGGCCATGGGCGTGGCCGTCGACTGAGACGACGAAATCCGTTTCGCGCGGACGCGCGAAAGCGTGTGTTGCACGGCCGCTCCGCGAAGTTGTAGCTTCTGAGGGTCCCCTACAAGGCGAATCCTCGTCGTTGTTTTTTTTTTGGGGGGGAATGGTCCCCCCGAAGTTCATTTGGGATCCCCGAAAAAATATTATCTGAGAGGCGGACATTGTCTACAAATAGGGGAGTTTCTTTTTTGGGGGTTCCGTCTTGAGTAAACCCCCTCCTTTGTTTCCTATGATCAAGCCCTTAAGGCCGCGTCGAGGTTAGTGCCAGCCAAACTGGGGCAGCAGTGAACGAGGTGTGTGAGATCTGTTTTCCGGAGGTTTGGCCAGAGGAATACATGCTGTGAGCTGCATGCTGCTTAAGTTCCGAATTTGCCAGGTTGCAACTTCGAGCTTTTGCTTTGTGTTCCAAGGTTAAGTAGCTCGCAGAAATCGGGTGGCGACGGGGTGGCAAACGCCCAGGCCCTGTTTTGGGTTGGGAAGAACGAATCCCCGGTGGATTCCCCCTTCTCCGTACAGTATTCCACCGCTTTGAGTATATGTTCAAAAGCAGTTTGTCCGCAGTAGTACATCTTGCTTGAATTAGGGGCTGACATCATGCCCTTGAAAGAAGCAACGAATGCTGCACACCATGCCCTCCGCTGTGTTTGTGTTTTGGCTCAAAATCGCCGCACGTATCTACAAGACTTCCACGATTTCACGCCAACGCTGAGAAGGGGAGTGACCTTTCCACCTTGTCCGACTCTGACTTGGGGTGTGATAAGTGAATACCCGGTGCCTGGCAGGGACCGTAAAGCCATTGCCGCGTGCTGTGCGCGCGCGCTTTGATTATTTTCCATGGCTGCAGCGGGAGCGGCTCGAGAGGCGTCGGAAGTTGCGGGGCTGGCAAATGGCCCAATGCGAATGGCCAAGCAACGCGAGCCCCGATCAGATAAATCGGCACCCAAAGTGAGAAAGCGGTCGAAACAAAATCGGGCAACCGCATGAATCGCATGAGGAGGATTCAGAGCGGCACAGCGATCTGGGGCCGAATGTCCGATTTCATGTAGGTCCTTGTCAACGCCACAAGGCCCAACTTGCGACCCGTTGCTCGGTGGAGGCAACCGAACTCCTCTGTTCGCCCAAGAAGATTGCACTTCACGTTCAAGCAAAATGAGTGGCTTGCGTCCCAAGCTTTGGGAGAACTTTTCATCAGGCACATGTTTGGTGATGCCAGCCGAAGCCAAAGCACCAACTCGCCAATCAGAGTTGTAGCTTTCAGCAAGCTGCCCTCAATGAGAGCAACGGCTTGCTTCCAAACAAGCTTGTTAGAAGCCTTGCTGCACTTGAGGCTACTTAGGAGAAGTTCCCCAAGCAACAAATACCACGGCCAGGCTTCATATTGTTCTTGAGCTCTCGCAAGGCAGAAACAACGAGAACTGCCCGCCTTCAGAATTTCCGTGAAACTCCAGGCTCACTCAAGTGTCATGTGTCACATTGCATACCGGCAAAGTACTGCATCAACTTGTCATCATGTCGCCCACTTCGCTGCTCCGCTCCTCTCATCCTACCAGCTCGCTGCTGTTCAATCGCTGGCAAACAGGTCTTGAAGCAAGACCTAAACCCAGCTGAGTATCACCCTATCCACATTTCATGGGTACGTGGAAAACCTGCCAGAGAAACCCTGATTGCTCCTGCGTGGATCTCGGTAGCGAGCCCGCGCAACGAAGCACTGATCCCACAGAGTGCGGTGGAACATGATGTCGTGTCCCTCACCAAACGCAGTAGGTGTGTCAAGCACTCATTGGGTAGCCACTGGAAGTGATTGGTGGACATGAATCCCACCGAATTTTGATGTCCACCAAAGGGTCCCTTACTAAAGTTCATCCCAATTTGTGCGTTTCCTTTTGCTTCCCCGTGCAACCCAGACCGCTTGCCAGGGCAGATTCTTGCTGGACCTGTCGCCGCTCTTGGGCAGCGGCACGCAGTTGGACATCACCCATGTGGCTGAGACCATCCGAGGGGACAAGTGGTATCTGCTGATGGCCTGCCTGCTGATCGACATGATCGGAGCCTTGGAGCTTAGATTTGGCTGCGGGTCAAAAATAGGTACCCTAAATGGAAACCTTGCAAATGGAACCAAGGCCTAAAAATTGCGGTCCCATGGTGGCTTAATTTTGACCCATACCCATTTGGATTGCTGGGGGCGGAGGCTCGGAGGCCGGTGCATTGATGGCCAGCGTGGTGTTCCGCCATTCTGTTTGTGTGTCAGTCCGTCCGTCCGTTTGGTCAACGTGGTCGCATTTGACCCTACCTCACGATGAGGTAGGGTCAAATGTGACCGGAGGTAGGGTCGTATGTGACCGGGACCCCTGTTCCGTTGTAACAACCATGCAACTGAAGAGCCCCTTTTTGACAGTGAGTTAGGGTCAAATGTGACCGGTGCGTTTCGCGTGGCCCTGCCGTGGAATTGGAACGCAGCATTCGATATATCTAACGATCCAGTAGGGACAAAGGTGACCGGAGGTAGGGTCGTATGTGACCGGGGCCCCTGTTCCGTTGTAAAAAACGAGCAACTCAAGGGCCCCCTTTTGAGAGTGAGGTTGGGTCAAATGTGACAGGAGCCTTTTGTTTTGTTATGGAAGGATGATCGCGTATGATAGTTCTGTTGTTGGAGGCAATGTGCACCAGATGTGGTGACTACCTCAAGAAGTGACAGCAAGCCAGAAACCCTAAAGTGATGTGGTGACTACTTCAAGAAGTGACAGCGCAGCAGCAACCCTAAAGTGATGTGGTGACTACCTAAAGAAGTGGCAGCAAACCAGAAAACCCTAAAGTGATGTGGTGACTATAACTGAAGTGACAGCGCAGCAGAAACCCTAAAAGTGATGTGGTAACTACCTGAAGAAGTGACAGCTAAACCCAAAACCCTAGAGTGATGTGGTGACTACAGCAGAAACCCTAAAAGTGATGTGGTAACTACCTGAAGAAGTGACAGCTAAAGCCTAAACCCTAGAGTGATGTGGTGACTATACCTGAAGCAGAAACCTTAAAAGTGATGTGGTAACTACCTGAAGAAGCGACAGCGCAGCAGAAACCCTAAAGTGATGTGGTAACTGCCTAAAGGAGTGACAGCGCACCACATGTGGTGACTACCTCAAGACGTGACAGCAAGCCAGAAAGCCCTAAAGTGATGTGGTGACTACCTAAAGAAGTGACAGCAAACCGGAAAACCCTAAAAGTGATGTGGTAACTACCTGAAGAAGCGCCAGCGCAGCAGAAACCGTAAAGTGATGTGGTAACTGCCTAAAGGAGTGGCAGCGCACCAGAAACCTTAAAGTGAGGTGGTGACTACTTCAAGAAGTGACAGCGCAGCAGCAACCCTAAAGTGATGCGGTGACTACCTAAAGAAGTGACAGCAAACCAGAAAACCCTAAAGTGATGTGGTGACTATAACTGTAGTGACAACGCAGCAGAAACCCTAAAAGTGATGTGGCAACTACCTGAAGAAGTGACAGCTAAACCCTAAACCCTAGAGTGATGTGGTGACTATACCTGAAGTGACAACGCAGCAGAAACCCTAAAAGTGATGTGGTAACTACCTGAAGAAGTGACAGCAGAAACCCTAAGCCCTAGAGTGATGTGGTGACTATACCTGAAGTGACAGCGCAGCAGAAACCCTAAAAGTGATGTGGTAACTACCTGAAGAAGCGACAGCGCAGCAGAAACCCTAAAGTGATGTGGTAACTGCCTAAAGGAGTGACAGCGCACCAGATGTGGTGACTACCTCAAGAAGTGACAGCAAGCCAGAAAGCCCTAAAGTGATGTGGTGACTACCTAAAGAAGGGACAGCAAACCAGAAAACCCTAAAATAGTATGGTGACTATAACTGAAGTGAGAACGCAGAAGAAACCCTAAAAGTGATGTGGTAACTACCTGAAGAAGTGACAGCTAAACCCTAAACCCTAGCGTGAGGTGGTGACTATACCTGAAGTAACAGCGCAGCAGAAACCCTAAAAGTGATGTGGTAACTACCTGAAGACGTGACAGCTAAACCCTAAACCCTAGAGTGAAAACGTAGAGTGATGTGGTAACTATACCTGAAGTGACAGCGCAGCAGAAACCTTAAAAGTGATGTGGTAACTACCTGAAGAAGCGACAGCGCAGCAGAAACCTCAAAGTGATGTGGTAACTGCCTAAAGGAGTGACAGCGCACCAGAAACCTCAAAGTGATGTGGTGACTACTTCAAGAAGTGACAGCGCAGCAGCAACCCTAAAGTGATGTGGTGACTACCTAAAGAAGTGACAGCAAACCAGAAAACCCTAAAGTGATGTGGTGACTATAACTGAAGTGACAACGCAGCAGAAACCCTAAAAGTGATGTGGTAACTACCTGAAGAAGTGACAGCTAAACCCTAAACCCTAGAGTGATGTGGTGACTATACCTGAAGTGACAGCGCAGCAGAAACCCTAAAAGTGATGTGGTAACTACCTGAAGAAGCGACAGCGCAGCAGAAACCCTAAAGTGATGTGGTAACTGCCTAAAGGAGTGGCAGCGCACCAGAAACCCTAAAGTGATGTGGTGACTACCTCAAGAAGTGACAGCGCAGCAGCAACCCTAAAGTGATGTGGTGACTACCTAAAGAAGTGACAGCAAACCAGAAAACTTAAAGTGATGTGGTGACTATATCTGACGTGACAACGCAGCAGAAACCTTAAAAGTGATGTGGTAACTACCTGAAGAAGTGACAGCTAAACCCTAAACCCTAGAGTGATGTGGTGACTATACCTGAAGTGACAGCACAGCAGAAACCTTAACAGTGATGTGGTAACTTCCTGAAGAAGTGACAGCTAAGCCCTAAACCGTAGAGTGATGTGGTAACTATACCTGAAGTGACAGCGCAGCAGAAACCTTAAAAGTAATGGGGTAACTACCTGAAGAAGCGACAGCGCAGCAGAAACCTCAAAGTGATGTGGTAACTGCCTAAAGGAGTGACAGCGCACCAGAAACCTTAAAGTGATGTGGTGACTACCTCAAGCAGTGACAGCAAGCCAGAAAGCCCTAAAGTGATGTGGTGACTAACTTAAAGAAGTGACAGCAAACCAGAAAGCCCTAAAGTGATGTGATGACTATACCTGAAAGCGATGTAAAAGCCTCAAGACCTAAAGTGACACATTTTGCAAGAAACCGTCAGGTAGGGTACGGTCAAATGCGACCGGTGCGTTTCGCGTGGCCCTGCCGTGGAATTGGAGCTTGATGCTGCCATCTCGTTGCCAGCTGGCAATGTTGCTTGAACGCAAAGAAGGGTAGGGTCGCTTGTGGCCAGTGCGTTTCGCGTGGCCCTGCCGTGGAATTGGAACATAGTATTGCCACTTGGCACTGATTTTAAGCCCAAAGTAGGGTAGGGTCAAATGTGACCGGTGCGTTTCGCGTGGCCATGTCGTGGAATTGGAGCTTGATGCTGCCATTTCTTTGCCAGTTGGCCATGTTGCTTGAGCCCAAAGTAGGGTAGGGTCAAATGTGACCGGTGCGTTTCACGTGGCCCTGCCCGTGGAATTGGAACATAGTACTGCCATTTGGCACTGATTTTTGAGCCCAAAGAAGGGTAGGGTCAAATGTGACCGGCGCGTTTCGCGTGGCCATATCGTGGAATTGGAGCTTTACGCTGCCATTTTGGCATGGTTTTTGAAGCCAAAGTAGGGTAGGGTCAAATGTGACCGGCGGGTAGGGTCGTATGCGACCGTCCTCCCGTCCGTTTGTGCTTGCTTGCTTGCTTGCTTGCTTGCTTGCTTGCTTGCTTGCTTGCTTGCTTGCTCGCTTGCTCGATTTGTTGGCCTGCTTGCTTGCTTGCTTGCCTGCTTGCCTGCCTGCTTGCTGGCTGGCTTGCTTGCCTGCTGGCGGGTGTTTTTTTTCCTCGAGCATGCCCGCGAAGGGTAACCAAGTGAATATCGGAGGTCATGGTTAACCTTGTTGCCGGTAGGGAACCATGCGCTGATGGTTTTGATCTTCCCGGACCCCCCCTTCCTGTCTGCAGACCGCCTAGTTGAACTACTGGTCAGCCCGGAGCCCTGGGGACAAATTGCGAGAAGTGTTTGTCAAAGGGAATCCCTCTTTCCAACACTCACGGAATTGGGCAGGGTTGTGGAAGATGATCATCCTCAGGCTCCTTATCCACTTGCATGGTTGCCTCGTCAAAGAGAACCCTGTTCGCTGTTCCGACTTGCAGGGCAAAAGTCGTCGGCGCAATTCCCCAAGCTCAGCTTGGGTCATCTACGCACCATTGGAATCCTGCCACGTGCTTTTGGGGCAATGATCTGAAGCCACAGGAGTGGCCAGCTACTTGATCCTCATCCTGGGCGAGGCGTGGCGGGGCGGGGGCCGCCGGCTTTCCGAGCGTTCCGGGGAACGAGTGGGCCGGGGGCTATCCAGCCGACCCCCAACGAGTCCCCTCCATGGACCCGGCGACCTCTGGAACCGCGAGGGTTAGACCAATTCGACCTGTCCAACAATTATGGAAGCGAACACAGGACCTGTTCAGGATGCTCTTTTTTCAAGGCCCTCCCACCGTCCACTTCCATTGTTGGAAAGAGGGTGCGTTGTGTTGACCTGCCAGGCACGAAGCGGTCGGGGGTGGAAATCCTTGCTTTTTCTCAGTCTTGGTTGACCGTGCGGGCTAACATGTTGGGGAGGCCTGGTCAGGCTGCTTTTTCGTTCCCTGGTTTCATTGGTTTTAACACCAACTGCAAACAGAACGCCACAAAGCAAGCGGCCTGCGGCCTGCAGCCTCTGGACTCCCCGACTCTATCCAATCTAATAGCATCTAATTTAATCTATCCTGTCCATCTATCGATCTATCCTGTCTATCCTGTCTATCTCTCCATCTATCTATCTACCTATCTATTTATCCATCTAAAGCCACCTGCACCCCAGGGTCGCCACCATCATTCTTTTTCTTAAAGCCGTCATGGCCCATCCCCTCGCTTCTGCTCGTTTGCCGCGCTCCCGCGGAGCCTTTGGTTGGACTCAGTTCACGGACATCCTGTGGGCGCCCATCGCCGGCTTCTTGTTGCAGCACCTGGGGCTGAAGGAGCGAGCGAGCTCCGGGAAGCTCGTGGGAGCGAGCGGAAACCTGAGCCACGGGCTCAAAACCGAAAAACCCGGGCAATGTTAACCCCGAATGAAGCAGAACCCTGGTTGATACATAGGGGGGGTGTCCCCTTTAGTGGGGATTCAGACCACTTTTGGAGGGAACACCGCCCTAGTAATGGGACGGGTTGATTAATTCTGGGTCAATATTAGATGAAGGTTAGTAAGCCTAGCCGGTGTCCATTGAATGCTGGAGCTCAAGTTGCCTTTTTTGGTGGGGCAACACGAGCCACGTGCGATTCCGGGTAGATGAAGGTTAAGGGAGAGGGGATAGATGGGTGCGGATATCCTGCTTAATTCTCGCAACCTGGTTCTGGGTAGACCATTTTGATGCCAGGTTTTGATATGACTCACCTGAGGATTCCTGATTTCCGGTGCATGAGATGCTGGCCCGATTTTGATGGATTTTCCGAAGGAGTGATGCTGGCCCGATTTTGGAGGTTTTCTTTAAGGAGGGACACAGAAGGACCCTTTTTAGGAGTTTGGCTTTTGGAGCCGCAGTGCTCTGTGCGCTTTGCGGCTCGCCGACAGCCATAGGCGTTTTGAGAACTGGACTTCCGAGGGCCGGCAAAAGTTTGGAATCGTTTCAAGAGGCAGCGAGCAACCAGCCACCAAGAAGAAAAGGGTTGCCACATTTGCACAACACTGCCCATTTGGAGGTTTGCAACATCACATGAGCCACAATCAAAACCCGGGTAGATGACGGTTAGTAATTAAGGGACAATCCCGACCATAAGTAGCAGTGACTGCCTTCTTATTTCTTTACATAGTGCTGGGTAGGACCATTCTAGTACCGGGTTATGACTCACATGTCCGAACTATATGATTTGACCCGGCTGAGACTAAGTCCTTGCTTGGTCCGATTCTTTCTCGAGCCTTGGATACTTCTCAGAGTCTTGTGTTCTTCCCCAGGCATACTCTTGAATACGTTTCCAAAGGGTAAGGGTAGATGCCTCCACGGTGCATGGCACCTCAGCAGAAAGAAGCGAACACACCATTTTGCCCAAATATCATGCGACATCCCTTACCCACGAATGCGATGATACAGCGGATATGCCCTAAACGTTGCACGTGGGAGAACCTGGGAAACCCTGCAACTTTCGGCGCAAGGGTTGTGCGGTTGGAGGTTGGTTCACTTGTAGCAAATCCCTTTCACTTGGGATTCATAAGGCCAGCCATCAATGCTCTCAAGGTGGGATGTCTAAAGCTCTATGGGCGGGGGGGAAGGGAGGTGCTGCAGACTCTAATTTGCCTGCGTATTGGGCAGAATCTAATGCGTCTGCATTGCTTTGAGGCTGTGCCGATTTGATTCTGCTAGCAAACGTTGTTGCATCAGCGTCGCACTGAACTTGAAGTGGAAGTATGGCAAATCCTTTCAGTTTGGGCGAAAGTCGGGGTTAGTCATCCCCTTGGACCCGAAAGGGGATGCCATGTACTTTCACCTCGGTGCTGAGCGCACCGGCGACACAGCAGTTTGGAGCTGCGCCGGTTGAAATATGTTCACGGTGTGAGTCTCGCAGAGTACACCCGTGTGGCTGACATCATGTGTGGCTTAGGCCGGACGAGCGAGGCTAGCTTGTCCTTTTGTGAAGTTGGGCCTGCAAGTGGTGCTTCATCTGCCAACGCTGGGCAACTTGATTGTGATGCGACAAGTAAACTCAGCCTGGGGCTTGGAACTTGGTCGCCTTGTGGGCCTCCGGTTCTGAAAATCTCCTGGACTAAGCCGTTGGTTTGCCCCCAAAGTGCTGTGGATTTTCCGAGTGAGTGGCCTCTGGCGCCCTCCAGGGGCCCGAGAGGCCAACTTTTCGCCCAACCCTCCAAGCAAGTGGCATGGACAAAGGAACACCACTGGCAAATGAGTTGGAGATCCGCAGAACATGGGGGGGAACGCGGTTTCCCCATTTGAAGCACAAAGATGGGTCGCTCCAAAGGCACGTTGCCATAGGTGTCCTGTTTGGTTGTTGTGGTAGAACAATAGATGGCCCTGGTTTACCTGGTGGTTTACTCATCTACCAGGAAAGCCCATCTATTTCCCGTTAAAGGGACACCCCATGCACGTTGCGCGCGGACACGGCTACCAGCTCTCTCAAGGTACTTGTTCGGGTCGCTGCTGGTGAGCTCCCTGGGCACCTTGGAGGAGATTTTGCCCTTCACCGACATCCTGCCCACGGCCACCTTGGCCTGGGCCTCCCGGCACGTGACGGGGAGGGTTGGGACGGTTTTTGGTTTTCTTTGGTGCGTGATGCCAAGGGATGTTCGGACTGAACAACTTTTGGCCAAATGGGTTTTCCGAATTAAGCCACTAAAAGTAAAAAAAAAGAGCAGGGGAGCAGAAAGGAACCGAGTTTTATTCTTTGGGCGGGGGCGGGCAAGGGACGGGAAGGGGATCCACACGCACGCGCACACACACACACACAAACAGGGGTAGTCGTTGACCACTAAATAGCAAAGGACGAAGTGCGCCAAACGGCCAAGCTTTTCATGTCTGTCGATGCTCAAGGATGGGGAGTGGATGAATTTGCTCATCGCCTTAACATTCAGACCATGTAAAAGGCTACTTGAATGCGAGCCCCATCATCCAACAGTGTCGCGGGGAGAAACCATTGGAAGACGTTGCGCCTTGCAATTGAGGAGCAGCGTCCGAAAGAATCAGAGGTCCAACGGGACCGAGCTGTTAGCACTACAATGCCTTAGGCCAACCAGGGTCCGTCACTGTCAAGGGTCCAAAGAGTTGGATCTCTTAGAATTGACCCACGGCGTGCTCAGAGTTCTTCCTTTGTGCTGGCTATTTTAGCTTGGTGAAATGTCATGGCCGCGTGTGTTTTCCCGCTCGCAAGTGTTGGTTGCAATACTATGAGGTGATGCGGCGGAAGAATGTACAGACCCTCACGATGTCACACGAGATACCCCAGCAACAAATTGGTGGCACGCCTTTCTTGACAAATACACACACACACATGTTGTTTGTGGGACTCTGGAATGTGAGCCTCTATTACCTTTGCCCGTGGATTCAAAATATTTGATAGTTTGTGCTGTCCCAAGACTCCCAATCCATATTTCGGTGGGCAGGAACCACCCAAGTAATTTCGACACCGGCACAAGCAGAGACTTGCGTCCCTCCATTTTTAGGCGACAGAGACTCCGGTCTTCGGAGTTGCGCGTTCGCCATGCAGGGAATCTGTCACTTGGAGTGCTTGAGCTTCCTCCGAACGCTCTTGGGAGTGCAGCGTCACGAGCGGCCGCGGCCGGTGGAGAATCACATTCGCCAGGACTGAGGCGCGCACGTTGGTGGTTTTGTTTCTTGGAGGTTTCCTGCCGGCTTGCGTCTGCCGCGCATTGAGCATATCTCACTTTCTGGCAAGTTCAAGGTTTGTGGTGTGTCTAGGCTTCATTCAAACGGGGTGGAAGGCTGAGTTTTTGTTTTCTTCTTATGGTTTGTGGTCGGGTTTCTGGGCAACTCTTTCGGGAGCATGGACTCGTCTGCGAGGCTCCGAAGAACCAGGAGACCAAGCGGAGCTGAGTCACAGAGCAAAGTCCACCGGGTTACCGTTTGGGTGGCTCGTCTCTTTTTTTGAGGGTACCCCCTTTTGGGAAGGGTCCCCGGAAAAAAGACGCTCATTTTCCATTATTTGCGCAGGGTGGCATGTGTTTACGCCCAAAGGGGCTGCTGCGGGCTGCTTTCGAAAGGAAGACAGCGCCGGAAAGGTAGGATCTCTGGAGCGTTGGTTAGATTACTGGCAAGAGCCGTGATCACAGCATGGCGGCCAGAGTTCATGTCGCCGCACTGGTTTTGTGGTGAACCGCGTGCATTTAAGAGAGAGATCCCCGCTCAGCGACCCCTGCTCGTATACTTCTTTTACTCTCCTTCGCATCGAAAGTACTCGAAGTAGTCGTTTGGAACCCTTCCAGTGCCGGCGAGAGGTGGCAAACTCCAATGCTGCTCACGCAAAATGCTGCGCTGCAATGCGTTGGTTGATGTGCCTATCATACCTTCGTGGCGGGCGGGGGGGGGGCTTGGACTGACACTGTTGGCCCCTATTTCTTGGGGAAAGCTTGTGGCCTTGTTGTTCTCCTTGGAAGGAAGAGTCCCCGTTAAGTAAGCCCGCCTACTTTCGGCAGCTCTACTTTTGGCTGAGTATTCCGAGGTTGCAAACCTGGCAGAGTCTTGCAGGCTCAAGGCACTAGCGAGAGCTAGGCAAGTCCATATGGACAACCAATCCACGCACACACACACACACACCCAGTTTCAGAGCAGCCGCTGCTCATCACTTCACAACACGATACCATATTCACTGCTCCTATAGCCTCACTTAGGTTTCATGTGGGCCGCCTCCCTGAGGTCGGCACGGGAATCTTGCAGCTGAAAGCCTGCTCGTTTTGGGCTTGAAATGTTTTGCACACCTGAAAGAGGGTTGCTGCACTCGGAGGGTCAAAAAGTCAACCCCCGCCACCCATGAGATACACCCTTGCAGGTTGACATGGAACACATGCCATCATGCCATCGCTTTTAGAGGAATCTCCTGTTGAAAGACCCCTCCTTCCAACTGAATTTGTCTGCATCTCAAGGGACACGGAACCCACATTCTTGCAGCTCGATCTCCTTTGGCCTTTCGTTTTGGTTCCAAGAAGGGAAGGGTTGCCCAACAAATGGTGGAAGCAGGGACCCTTAGAAACAGAAGGATGAAGCCGCTTCGCCGGATTCCTTGGCGGCCAGGCGCCTTTGCAGCCGGCTGCCGATCACGCCACTCCCCACGGTGAGGGCGGTGCCAGGCCATGAAAGACGGGGTGGGAGTGGGACCTTCGGTTTTCTCAGCGAAGTTCCAGCCACTTCATTCTTTGGTTGGGGGCGCCGGGCAACGCGCCAAAAAACCGTATGCCCATTTCCGGAGTCTTCTTGGCAAAAGCTGTCCTTCGGCAGGCCCCCGGCGTGTGGCTGTCGGGCGGTCGCAACATTGCAACCGACCCAACACCCCGATGGACGGCGCAGGCCCATGTGGGCAGAAGCGTCCCGTGCGACCCTCCAACCGCCGTTTGGCTTTGAAGGCATTTGGAGCGCATGGCGGGGGATGCTCAGTAGTTGAGCTGTTTGAGCTGTGGTTTTCAGCCTCCTTCCGCTCCACCCGGGGACGGGGTTGACGCCGTTCAAAGGCCCAGACCTCTAGTACTGCCATGTTTTCTCAATGTTTTTGGGGGCTTCCCTTTAACTTTAGCAGCTATGAACCGGACACTTTGGTAGCCTTTTTGCCCCCATGGCCAGGTCATTCACGGCCCTTTAGAGTTGACTTTAGAGTTGACTCTGGGAAAACGCAAGAAACAATCACGTGCACGACACCTGCTCTGCTGCGCTGCCACCTGCGGGCAATTTAGGGCCAGGGACATGCTCGGGGGCGTCGATGAGAGATGCCTCACCAGTTGCCTCGCTTCTTCTGCAATGTCGGTCAGCCGGGTGGACCAAAAAGGTGGTACCCATTTTCCCAAATCTTTGGCTTCGCATTGCTCCCACAGTGCAGCTTGAGAGGCCCTTCTTGCATCACTGTCCCATGGTGCCCGAAGATTTTTGCGATCCGAGCAGCCGTCGTGAGGTTACCTTGCGTTTTGCCAGGCGCCAGGACCTTCATAACCGCCCGAACCTTCTCGGGGAGTTTCAGGCGCGCACGGACCCGGCGGAACGAGGGTCGGAGAAGATTTGTGGAATGGAGGTATTGTGTGTGTGTGTGCGCAAGTGTGTGTGTGTGTGTGTGTGTGTGTGTGTGTGTGTGGGTGTGTTTGTCTTCTTTGAGGGCACGCTTTTGGGGTTGTTTTCAAGTGGATCCTCTTTTTGGAGGCACGCCTCCATATTTGTGACGAACACCCACTCTTTTGATGCCCACGCTGAATTCGGCGTTTGAGCAGCATGTTTTTACTTGTGCTCTTGGCCACGCCTTTTTCGGGGAAAGCAGGCTGCAAGAGACAAGGTGTGCAGCCATCAGGCGCAGTATTTCGTGCGATATGGCTGTGGATGTCAGAAAAGGGCAATCCAAAAATGGGTTACCCTGGTAAATGGAACCAAGGATGAACACCTGTCCAATTTCTGGTGGTTTAATTTTGACTCATGCCCATACGGTCAGATGACTTTCCAAAAACGGGGACACCAAGGGCCCGTGCTACAGGCCACTGCAGGGCTCGCCGCCGGGGACTGAGGTTCGGCGTGACCTGTGATGACACTGGGGTAAATCACCCCCAGGCTTCCTGTTGTTCATGCCCCTCGTACCTAAAGGAAGTAGCCATTTCAAAGTGGGGTAGAGGGCCAAGGGTACATTTTCACTTATAGAGATCCTTGCCTCGCAGTTTGCCAACGATACGGTACCCAAGATTTCCGTGTTCCTTCTGACCAATATACCTCTATGCGCACAAGCCTGAGTTGAGAGGACCTGAGGCCAGCTGGGGTAAGAGACCCGCCTGTTCGCCACAAATGATCCTGTAGGCTCCTTGGGTAGCAGCGCCATTCGTTCCTGCAACGGGAAAGATGCAGAGCTTGGGGGAGGTAAGAGCATGAAACGGAGAGCAGTTCGCTCAGGCCAGCGCCGGCACATCAGAAGATCCAGTGCCGCTCGTGCCCTGCGAGTCGAGGTGGTTATGAGTCGAAAACAAAGGGACCCAGGGGCAAGCGGACAACAAATGGAGCCAAAGGGACCGGGGCTTGCGAGGTGGTTTTTTCCATATATGGCAAAATGCAATTGTATGCGGACACAGGCCCCGTGCCAGTGTTTTCCTTTGACAGCCAGCCCAGGCTTTTTCAGGAAGCATGATCGTTTGTAGAGGTCAGAGATTTTTCTCCATGCGGAGACAAAGAGCTCATTGTTTGCTTTTTTCCATTGGTTAGCCTTGACACCCCTGCCGCCTGTCCTGAAATCAAGCGGAAGTCAGGATAGACACCAGGAGACTTGCGCCATGGCGTGGGCCGTTTCCTCGCGCGAGGTACCGGCAGCGACTGGAGAAGCTGATCCCCCACTTCCGCAACAGGACGAATGCCCGGGCCCCGGATCCGAAAAGGCATCGATCGGATCCCGGGCCGCTCGAGTTTCCGCCTTTTTTGGGATGGGATGGAGGCCGTTTTTGGAGATCTTGCGATCGGTGGATAGGCAGGTTTTTCTGGTGGTTTCCTTCACCTGAGCAGCAGCAAGATATGGCAACCTCAAGGGTTGGCTTCATGAAGGTTACCGCAGAAAAACGCGCCGCCATTTTGATGGATCAGTGATGGCTTGCGCGTGGAATAATTTATGCTGACCAATCTGCAGCGGGCATTCCAGAACTCAGTTGGCAACTTGAAAACATCCGCTTTGCAGGCAGTGTGCAAAAGACAAGCACATGTTCTGCTGCGCGACATGCTTGGACGCCTACCCGCAACATGATGCTCTTACACCTTACTCGTATATGAGAAAACACCGTGTCACAGCGGCTTGCTGGAGTTTACGAAAAAGGGCTTAAGATGATAGAGTATGTTTTCATGTGCAACTTGAACAGCTCGTCGTAGTCCCCCGTTTCTTCTGCTCTCAGAAATCCCGTGTGCAAATTGGACTGGGATTTCTGTGCGCCCAAGGACTGGGATGTCGCCATTTCGATCCGCGTTGTTTTTTCTTTTTCTTTCTTTCTTTTTTTCTCCTACGTATTCCCTGAAGAACCCTTCAATTCGGGTTGGTTTCTTTTGGGACGCCCAGAAACCTGTGAGAGAGGCTGGCTCAAGTCGATGGATCCTTGGTCACACCGGCCGACTTGGGGCTTGGTCGGGATGGTCATCAACCATGTAAGGAATTTGGACAGTCATTCTGAGGATGTCTATTCTGCAAAGAACCCTGAATATCGCACGTGAAGAGAGAATCAGCCGCACATCAATCAATTGTGATTGTGCCCCTCAGAAATATTTCGGCGAAGCCAAGTCCGGGTCCTCCTCAAGGAAGACATGTCAGATAGCGCAGATAGGGGCTATCAAAATGCAGGGACTCTCGCTTTTTGGACTTTCAATACGGCGAGAGACCAAGACGCATCCCGGAAAAGGCCCGCACAAATTGTTGCCAACCCGCCTCCGCGTGTATCTCATTCCTGTCTCACCAGCCCGTATCGCATCAGAGCCAAGACTCTTTTTTTTCTCACCGCCTCTCTTGTTTTTTGTTTTTGTGGGGGGAGTGGTGTCATTTGGTGCCGGCTTCAGACGTGCTACTTCCTCACTCGCCGCAGTGGCTTTCGGACGTCTCTTATCAGCACTCGTTTCACGGGACCTCCACCGGATGTCTCCCTTTCGAGTCAAGCAGGATCTCCCAGTTCGGGGAGCTGTGTTTTCAGTCGATCCGGTTGGCCAACGAGAGGTTGAAGGAATAGAGGGTCTCATATCCTCGAGGTACTCAAGCAGGAGATCAAGCAGCGCACCACCAAGGCCAAGAACCATGCAGAGGCCCTCGGGGGTCTTAGCCGAAGACATTTTTTCGCTTTCGTTGGAGGTAAGACTTGCAAACCCCAGCGGGGGCACCTTTAACATAAAATGGTCAACCCAAATTTTTCGGCAAGGGTCGCTGGACAACTGCAGCTTTGCCTGAGAACTGGTTTTGCTCCAGTCCTTTTGCCCTTGGAGCAGGGTCAACGCTTGCTGACATCTGCATTGTGTTTCCAAAACCTGGCGGAACATAAAAGCGAATCCTAGGCATGTTGGATGGTCTCCTTTTGACGATTGTATTCTCAAAGGAGACCTCGCTAACATGTTCCGCAAGGGTCAATCCATTGCCTTTAGTCGACGGCAAATGCCACCAGAGCTTCTTCATTTGCCTACAGCGGCTCCACCGGTGCCGAGTTGGGACGCACGGCCAATATGGGTGTTTACAAAGGGGCTCCTTCGAACCCCATGCCATTTTGAGCTGACCTCAAACAGCCCTGAAAACTCCCCTAGCTATTCACATACAGCAGGTGCATTTTCTGGCTGTGGGGATCATTCCCACTTTCCAAGCCAAGCACAAATCAAGCAAAGGCGACTCAGGCGCAACCCCACTACCCAGAAGCTTGGGATGTGGGGGTTGATCAATATTCCTGGCCCCAACAATGTAACAATTACAATGAGTAGCTTTTTCCATGTAGCGGTGAGCATCATCATTCTTGGTGGTTTCCCAAATGGTTGCCCCATGAAAAGGACGTTTTGATCAACCTCCACAGCCACAGTAGCGTTTTCCACTGTGGTACTGTGGATGGACAACATCCTGCACCACCGAAGACACCATGGGCACCAGCTGTTTGTCCGCATGTCCAGGGGAATCATCCTTCATCCTTCCAGGCTTTGTTAAAACGGTGCATGGTGCCTGAAATAAGCGGATGTTCACAGCGGTCCGCGGGTCGCGATCGCTTTTCGGCGGGGCTGAATCACACGCCATGGGACGCCCAACTGGTGATTTCCTTTTGGTTTCCCTTTGGTTTTCCTCGAACATCACGGAAAAAGACATGTGCCCCCAAGAAGAAAACCGGGTTTCAAGTTCTCAAGTTCTCGATTCCCGTGGGCGAACCCAAGCGGCCCTAAGCGCGGCCCGCGGCCGAGTCAGCGAGCCCCCAGGTGCTGAAGCGGTTCCGGCTCAGCCGCTTCGGCTGGGAGCGGCGGCGCGCGCGGCTGCGGGATGGGCGGCTCGGCTTCGGCGTCTCTGGGGGGGATCCGGGGGGGGTCGGCTTTGGGGTGAGGCTTCCCGGATTTTGGGGGTTCAACAGGGTTGGGCTACGGGAAGATCTGCAGGACATGGCGGAAAGAAGCTGTTTTCCTGTAGAATTGTTCCTGTAGTCCAACGATTTGAGGGTTGGTTAGCGATGAATTTGGGGGTTTCCTGATTTTGACACAAGCCCATTTGTTTAAAGAGCCAGTTTCTGGTCCCTGTCTTGAGAACAATCTCTGGCACGTCCTAAGCGGGGCTGCGCGAAGTGATCCACCCTTCTTGGCCCCAGACCCAGCTGGTCCCATAGAGAGCTGGCCATGCGGCATAACGCCTATTTTGATGTTCACCAGGGGTACAGGGTTTTGACCCACTGCCAGCTGTTTTTTCGTGGGAACGGTGCGGCTGTGTTTTTTCCTCCACTCGCTTCCCCGCAAAATCTCGGGGAGTCGGGTGCCTTCAATGGCCTTTGTCCTGGCTCGCAGGGTCACCTCCCTTAGCGCCCAGGAAGAGGCGGAGGAGGAAGTGGCAGAACAAGCTGCCACGGCCTTGGCGAGAGGCTTCTTCGGATCTGCTCAGAAACTCAAATGGGACATGGAGGGTTTTAATGGTTTATGTCGAAAATGAGAAAGGTTCTCAGAACCTCTTTAATCAGCACCAAGAAGCCTGGGTTGGCATCGGGACAGGGCGATCTCCCTATTTTGACGCATGCCCATTTCACCCTGGTGTTGACATCGTGGTCTTGGGCGTGTTTGTGTCTAAGGGCCTTGTTGGCGCAAGTTTCGGTGTATCGACACTGCTGTGCGGGCTGCTTTTCTTGAGCAAACCTCATGTGACCAGGGTAAGCGATTGCAAGGACAAAGGGTCTCACTCAGGCTCATGGCCATTCTTGCTTCTTGCTTACTTTCTGAGGGATTCGGCAGTTCGGCCGTGACATTCCTAGCGGTCAAGCGAACAAACAATTGAGGAGCTGTGGGGGAACCCTGTTTGTTTGTTGACCCCCATTTATCTTGTGGTTCTTATTTTTTGTACCTTCTGGCACATGTTGGAGGACCTTGCTAGTCAGAGGAACCCCTTCTAAGGTAGTTCATGTCCCCAGGGGGAGACACCTGAAAACCCTAGCTGGGCTGCCCTCGCTAAAAGTTTAACTTTTAGTGTGTTAAATGGAAACTACCACTAGGACCACGGCTCATATTCCGCCGTGACTCGAAATGGCAATTCGCTGTCTCAAGTCAAGCCTGGAACGTGATTTCCACTGGGAAATGCCAACGAATCTCCACCTTGAATGGTTTCCATGCGCTTGCGCGCTCTCTCCAAGCAGGGTTACCATTTTCGCTGGTTTTTGCCAGTGAAAAGAAGGATTTTGTTCCTCGCAAACTAGCGTGAAATCGGCAAGGTGCACTGGTTTTTCTCACTCAAACACCGACCGCGTTTCTGATTGCAGCAAACCTTCCAAATCAGCCAAGAACTCGCCAGGGCTTCGAGCACCTAGCGTTTGCCGCCAGTTCCACTGGAAAACCTGATGTTTCACAGCAGGGTGGAACTGGCTAGATCCGTCAACTTTAATCTTGGCACACACCTTCGGTGGCAGCCAAGTCTTAAGAGACTGCCAGGTCCTGTCCAAAACCTGCGTGGGAGGCAAACGCAAGCAAGGACCGAGACAGTCAAACTCCAAAGGGAACCGATGAGGAATCAGCACAACCTCAGCCACAAAAGCCAGGAACGGGTCAGCAGTTTGCGTGACCACGTCAAAAAGAGAGTCTAGATATATCATATCGGACAAACCTCAAAGAACGGACCAAGGCTTGAGTGACCACGCAGCCAGTGCGAACAGCCAGCGCAACGAAGAACCAAGATCAGACCCAAAGCCAGACGAGCGTCTTCACACCAGAACATCTGAGCCAAAACTAACAGCGAACGTTGATGCAGCCCCCACGAACGACAACATCCCCCCCCACCCCCCCACCCACCCCCCACCCCCCCAACCCCAACCAATGAGACCGACAAAGCCACAGTCAGAAAAATACTGTTTGACGCACGGCGGAATATAAGCCGTGGTCCAACTACCACTAAACACTAAAAGGCTAAAAAGCAAAGGGGATGGCTAGGAGCTACCAAGCTAATCCGAAGTCAAAATTAGAAGGAACGGGACACCCGGGAGTCAACCCGGTGGCACTCACTGAGTTGACCCTGACAGGCTAATGGCTGAAGTGAGTCAATTCTGTGAGTCGCGAAGGAAAAGAAAAAACTGTTATCAAAGTTTATTATTATTATTATTATTATTATTAGTTTTAGTTTTTTTTGTCCCCCCCGAAAGTGAAGGACCCTGTCCTGAAACAAGATACCCTTCTAAATCAACCGGGGGTTGCTAATCCTGGGCCCGTTCAAAAATAACTCGGGGGGGGGGGCAGAACAGACCAGATTGATTCTTGGTCTTACAAGGGTTTACCAAGATGGCTATAACATTTTGTGGGTGGGGGGGGGATGGACTGCACTGCCAGTATCCAGACTTGTGCTGTATTATTTTTGAATGGAAGCGCTCGGGCAGCGTTTTGCTTACGCATGTTGACAGATGACATCCCAAAGCCCTGCGGGGGACAAAAATAAGGACAGGTTCCCACTGCAGCTTCTCCCACCCCAACTTGACATCTCGAGCATGGACCTACTGCAACTGAGGAATGCCAAGGCGATAGACTACGTTCATCGGGCGGACATGCTGAAGATGATCCGCACAGCAGTGTGCGCCCATTACCAGTGAAACCAGTCAGTTCCTTCGCCCAAAGATGTTTCGGGTGCTCGGGGCTCGGGATCGTGCGAGACAGCAATACACTGTTTTCCGCACTCTTATCCATGACGGAAAGATGTTTTAGATGTTTTAGAGACTCGCGATGTTTTAGAAATGGCCGTTCAACGACTCGGCACCTGTGACAGGCCCAAACTAATGAGCATGGAGGCATCTCGGATCGCTCGCTCGGGCCAGTGGCACGCTGGTGTCGGGTTCAACCATGGCAGCACGAATGTCGCACTGTCAGGTTCGTACAATTCTGCGGAAAAATGCCTCGGTTTGCCTTGGACGCACCCCCGACAACGTGGAGCCATGTCTTCAGCCCTCTTCACCGTCATTTGCTGGTGTTCAGGACATGATTTGAAGACTTCCCTGCAAATGCATTCTTTGCCCGGTCAAGGTACTACAGAGTAGAGGCGATGTGGCACGTTTCAGTGCAACTCCTTGGGATAGGTGCGACTCCAAATGTTTGACCTGTTTCGGGCCAGCATTTCTGCACTCGGATGCTGGGTCTATGGATGGTTTCCCAACAGTTTACTACCTCTAAAGGAAAGAACCCATTTAAGGCCAAATGAACCCCAAACCAACCCGAACCCACCCCCGAGCAAGTCCCAACTGGCACCCAATCGGAGCCAGGCAGCCCCAGGTCCGCGGAAAATCAGGCGTTGGTACGCGCAAACTGTCCATACCTCTGCCTAGTCCCAGTAGCTATGGTGTCACATAATCACCATAGCTCGAGTGTGCCATCTCTGCCTCCAATGCAAAGGCGCGGCGGGGCTCGGTTCTGGCATCCAGTCTGCCGGAGTTGCCGGCTGTGTTACGGACCATTCAGATGCGGGAAGCAAAGAAAGGGAAACAAGGTATCCAGAACAAACGCTGACCCCCCCCCCACTGGCAGCTAGCCTGGCCCCAAAGTAAAGAGATAAGAGTACAGCAACCCCTAGCTCTAAACCCTAAAACCTAAGCCTTCTCCCCATTTCTATTGTCCAAAGGGTCTGCAGGCTTGGGGCCTCGAAAAACCGTTGAACAACTTCTTTTTGAACCGCCTCTTAAAAATTGCCCCCAAAAAATTGGGGCAAGTGGAACCTTCACAAATAAAGCCCCCAGCCCAACCCGGTCGACCCCCACGTCAGGTACTTCAAGCTGCGGGTCCGGGACTTCCCGAGGGATCCCAACCCCAACCTCCGGGAGGCCCGGCAGATGATCGGGAGCCACTTCGCGTGACCGGCGCGTGCTGACCGGCGCGCGGACTGGCGCGCGCCTGGCGCGTAGGCGAAGAAATCCTCGAGTCTCAAGACGGGCGGCCGTTCCCGAAAGGAATGCAAAGCTAGGAACGAGAGGCGACTTGTGACACAGCCCAGAGCAGGGCAGAATGTTTTTTAGCGACTCTCATCGCATTCTGTTGGAACTTTGAACCCACAAACACTCTAGCCATCTCAAGAGGCGACCTTTTGCGGCTGGGAGTGACTCAAACTTAAAGCCCCTCTCAGTGGTTGGTGTTTTTACCCATGTCCACCCTCGCATATGCCCAGCAAGATTGCATAGGCTTGCGATTTTTGGCCGCGACGCCACACGTCAAAAGCCCGACGCTTCTTCGCTGGACAGGCCGTCGTAGCAACACGATCTAAGTTGGTCAGAAGTCATGTTATGTGTGAGTATGTCGCTTCTTAAGGCTAACCCTTCCAGCGGGTTGTGAGAAAATTGGCGACCCCCCGAAAAGGGAATCCTTCACTACCAGGGGGGTCGATCAATTTTCCGCCAAAGGTGGCAAAAAGACCTCCCCGACCCCTTCTTGCTTTCCTGAAGGAAACCACAGAAAAGCCACTCGTTTTGATGCCACATGGCTCCTGGACGCCTCCGAGCTCAGCTCGCAAAGCGCGAGATATCGCTTGCCGATTGGACCGAAATGGATGGTCTCTCCTGGGATTCCGCTTTCCACTTCGAGCTTGTTTCTTTGGGAACTGTTTTGCCCCATACTCCAGGCTGGGACTCCTTCATTCTGCAAGGTTCCTCAGAAGGGTGCCCTGCAGTGTAAGTTGTGCACCCCCCCTTGTTGGAACAAATGCACCCGCAGACCCCCACTTTCCCTGTCCACGCGGATGGATGCGGAGTGGGCCACCCGGCGGAGTGGGATAGAACGGTTTGAGCGCCTTGCCATCGTCTCACCAGAAGCCGGACGGACGGAAGTGAAAAGCGTCTCGCCGTGGGCGGAGTCCTTAGCACAAGACCCCAGGAATCTCCTCGCGTCGGGCTCATGGTGCCGATGTGTTTCACTGGTTGTCATGTTTGAGGGCATTTCCCTACCAACCCTCAGGGTGAAATCATAGACTTCTGAGGCGATGCAAAGTTGAAGTCAGCAGCCGTTGCCATGCCATGGTCAGATCAGGGATGGAGCATATGGAGCCGATGCCTCAAAACCGCACGACTTTGATGAACATGCTTGACCCTTGACATACCGCAACTTTGAAAGGGTGTCAGAGACAAAACACATCCATCATGACGAGTCTGGCAAGTTTAGGGATTGAGCAGAGTGGATAACAACGGCCAAGGTAGTAATGCCGCCAGTTGTGAGATAGCGATGGCGATGCGACGTCAATGCCCACGCCGATGACGATGGCCAGGATGATGATGATGATGATGATGATGATGATGATGATGATGATGATGATGATGATGGACGAGGAGGAGGAGGCGGAGGAGGAGGCGGAGGAGGAAGAAGCGGAGGAGGAGGAAGCGGAGGAGGAGGAGGAGGATGAGGAGGAGGAGGCTGAGGAGGAGGAGGAGGAGGCGGAGGAGGAGGAGGCAGAGGAGGAGGCGGAGGAGAAGGAGGAGGAGGAGGATCAGCATGAGCATTCATCATGACGTTTCGCTCAACAAGAGGAATTCACGTGACTTTTCCGGCCGATAGCAGAATACGTCTTGCCAAATCCTCCTCTCCATTGATCTAAGACAGCCTGAAGTGTCCGGCAAGGGAGAGTGGCAAGCAGCTTAGCCCAAGTCACATGTCCCCATGAAGCAGCATGAATTGACAGCATAAGATTCACCAGTGGCAGAGCTGAAGCCTTGGACACCCCAAAGAGAAGGTTGTGCTGGATATGCCACTACGCAATATGGCTGTGGGTCGAAACCAATGGTACCATTCTGGGGTAGGTGCACCACCCATTCTCGTCTATAGTGGGGATTGGGATGTTCACTGGGAGTACGCGATCTTGACCCATGGCCATATGTAGCAACCGGTTGCAAGAACGAGCCGACGTCAAGTGCCACTACATGTCGGTAGCCTCGTGACAACGCCCAACGCTGCAGGTTACAGCGTGCCGCAGGCCCGAAGTTTCTGTGCGTGCAACTGCGCCTCTCCTGGACCAAGCTTTCGCTTTAGGCCAAGGTCCCCTCTATGGGCATGGGCGCCATGATCCAAAAATAATCAGTCATCGGGTTTCTTTGTTCGGGCGCCAGCAGCAAGCGCGACAATTTGCCTTGAAGAAGAGGCAATACTTGAAGCTTCACCTACACCCTGCCAAATCCCGGAGCTTTTGAGTTTTCTCGTTCGTCATCGCACAAATGCAGGTGGGCCAGCTTTAAGGCCAGGGGGGTTGCACCAGTCGCTCTAGCTAGGGAATTTTATTCTTCATCATGTTGCAAGCGAAGCAGCATACAAGAAAAGTCCGAGTTGCAAGAAAAGCAGGAGCGACACAGCACAAGGCTGCGTCTTTCTGGTTGCACCATATTGGAGAGAGAGACATATGAGCAACTGATCTAATATATGTGCCAAGTCCAAGAAACAATATTTTAGTCCGCCAATGTCCAATGTCCTGAAAAAAACCTCCGAGCTTTGGTCCCTTCATATCTCCCTTGCCATGGCTTTGGCCCTCCGTCGCTTGACGCCTCTTTCGGCGTCCCCCGGCTCCGCCCCTCTGCGCGGAGCGGTGCGCGCGGCCGGCGCTGCGTTGCCGCGGTCGGCGCCGGAGCGCCGAGGTGGGGGTGTGGGGGTTTGGGTCTTGGGGTCTTGGAGGCGTTTGGACCTGTTCTGCGCGCATAAGCCAACATGCAAAGTGAAGGCAGAAATTGCAGCACCAGAGACTCTGGCATGGTAAAGGCAAGTCCTTAGGTGGCAGAAAGCAAACGGTGATTGAAACTGTGCATGCTCACAGAAAGCGCCAGATGCCAAAGTCTTTGCTCTCATCCAGCAAAATCCTTGGTCACTCGCCAGCAGCACGCTGAGCAACAGAGCACCCTGCGCAATTTAATAGCACCCTGCTGCAACCCCTAGTCTTATCCTGGCCCAGCCACCTGAGCATCAGCGCTCTTCAACCCATAACTCCCAGTCACAGCTGCAGCTGCACCCTGCAACCTGCGACAGAAGCCCTACAACTACACTCGCAGGCCCCGCATGACTCACTCCAGCGTTTCCAAGGCATTGCCTTTAAGAGGCTTCCATTGGTAAGCGGACATTTGACACAGCTGGGGTGTTTCGATTTCCAGGCTTGTTCCTGTCATTCCAGAGCTGGGAAGTTTGTATTGACCAGAACGCCCTTCAATTTAATTTGTACAATGCGCGGCTTGTAGGCAAGTGCCAGTTGACTGGATCGACTCCTGGATGGCCTCCGAGAAACACTCCCCTGTGGTTTCCTAGGGACGGAAGGTCATTCCCTACCTATCGCAGCAGCAAGGAAAGTGCACTCTCACGTTTTTCCGGCTTTTGACCCTGCCGAGCCCATGAGCCAATGAAAAGAGCTGCCAATGGCTTGATGTCATCGTGGCGCTGGATGTGTGTCTTCTTTTGGGGGCAATCCCCGTTGTGGTAGGGTATGGGAAAACCAACACGAAAGCAACCCTTTGGTTCGCTCATCATGACGACCCAGTATTCCAAGTGGCTGGTAAACCACCGCCAGCTTTTGGTCAGCCCGAAGCGCACAGGCTCCACCAAGGAAGGACTGTCGAATTTCATGGTGGTGAAAATCAGGCCTGGCGAAACCGAATCAGAACCTTTCTCAGGCGTGGGGGGGACCGGGGGTATCCAAATTTGATTCTCAGGAGGGAGCTAAGCGCGTGGGGGGGGGGGGGGGGGCGGGGCCTTGGCGGCTTTTGCCGGCAGCGTGCTCGCGCGAGGCGTGCGGGCACTGGCCGTCGCCAGCTTTGCGGCGGCGGGGCAAAACGGGGCAAAGCACAGAGATGGGCGCCGGATGAGCGACGGAAATTCCCCAAGAAGGGTTCCCCAGCACCCCTTTGGCCCATGTTAAACTGCTTTGTGGGCCAAGGTAGCCGTTTCTTGGGGCTTGGGGGCATGTTCAAATCGGAGATAAAGGGAACCCTGAGGCATGGCTATGTCCTTTCTTGCTGGCACCCCCTTTTTGGAGATCTTTTCAAGGGAAGGTCAATTTGGAGGTTCGTACATTTTAGGGTGAACCCCAATGGGGCAATGTTCCATCGGTTTTGAACGGGCCCTCGCAAGCTTCGCTTATGCTCAGGCGAATAATTCCCTTTCACCCGGACTCATCTGTAGTTGCGCCATGAAGCAACAAGTTGCACGTTTCTCACACTTTGTATGACAGCTCTGTTCATGTCAAGGTTTGGGTATAAAAATACAAACAGGTGGCTCTTGACAATTCGGTCTCCTTTAGGTTGTTCTGTGAATCTCACACTGGGGGGTTTGCTGAAGAGGGTCATCATTCTGTCAACCCTCGACATGAGGGAATCACATGAGCCTAGAAGGGTCGCCAATGTAAATGCATTCCCGGAAGGAATACCCATGAAAGACTTCCTGACAGCCCATAAAGTCGTTGCTCGCGCATGCGCATCGGATGAATGGTCAAACTCTTGTGGGCCATGGATCCCCTTTCGACCAACCCTCAAAGAGACCGCTTGCCGGACACCAAATCAATGGGGCAGTTTGGTGTCCATTCCAATCGGCAGGCCCGGCAGGCCCGGCCGCGCAGCGCAGGCAGCGCAGGCGGGACGCTCGGGCAAGAGGTTTTGAACCAATGCCATGGTCAAAAGACTTGATTTGACGCTTGTGATGGTCATGTCACTTTTTCTACGAGTTTTAGACAACCATTGTCGGGGTTCCAATGAAGGGCAGTATGGCCATGGCACAAAACGAGCTGTTATCATGGCACATGTGAGTTGTATGCATTTTTGCAACAGCCGCAGCCTGGAAACCGCAATATCTTTCACATCCGTCAAAGGTCAACGTCAGAGTCATTCAGAAAAAGACTGCATGATGAGGCTCTCATACGAAAAGTTGCTTGCACTCTTTGTAGTCCGCTGTGCAGCCTTTTCGATTCTGAACATGTTGAACCCAGAAAACACCGACGTGTAGCGGAATCTCCATTTGTAAATGTTCCTGATAACTTTTTGGGGAAGTAACAAGCCAACAAGCCAAGCGCCCCCACGCATGAAGTGGAGGCGCCGAGCCCAACGCGCTTGGTGACGAGGGGTATGTGGTCAGCAACAAACAAGGGGAGCTTGTATCCTATTCACTGAATGGAGTCCTCCAAGTGGCAATGCGATGGTGCGTATTCGTTTGAATGTTTGCTTGCTCGCTCGCTCTCCTGCTTGCTTTTTTTTGCTTTCTTGCTTTATTGCTTTCTTGCTTGCTTGCTTGCTTGCTTGCCTGCCTGCCTGCCTGCCTGCCTGTCTGTCTGTGCCTGTTTGCTCGCCTGCCTGCCTGCCTGCCTGCCTGTCTGTCTGCCTGTTTGCTCGCCTGCCTGACTGCCTGCCTGCCTGCCTGCCTGCCTGCCTGCCTGCCTGCCTGCCTGCCTGCCTGCCTGCCTGCCTGCCTGCCTGCCTGCCTGCCTGCCTGCCTGCCAGGCCGTGTAGGTTTGTTTGTTTGTCCACGAGTGTGACTTCGACAACTTTGGCTGCTGTTTCCGTGGTTTAAGACACACACACACACACACACGACATTGTCTCAAAGCAGGGGAACCTGCAAAATTTGCTTCTTCAACAACACCGATTCATAGAGGGCACCTTTCTTGTGCCTTGCGAGAAGTTTCACTGGGCGCGGCCTCGAAGCGGGATTCGCAAGGCATCTGATTGGTTTTTGACACCAATCAAAAGGTTGGGTTACGGGAACTTCTACAGGAAAGCAGCTGGTTTAGGGCGTTTTGGGCCATGTCCTGCAGATCTGTCTGTAACCAACCCCTCTGAAACCGAGTTGCCTGTGTTTGCAGTAGGAAACGCCCAGGATCCCGTGTGGCTTGGCCGGATGCACGCTTCTGGGCCGGGGTCTCCAGTCGGTGAATCGAGCTTGAAGCAGCTTGACAACTTGGGAGAGGTCCCACAACGCCAGGGGGGGCTCAATCGGCAAGGATCACCGGGTTCCGTTTTGAGAAAACGAAGCTCTGGTCGAGAGCCTTCCCCTGAGCATCTGGACCCAGAGGCTGGCATTTTGGACTCGCTGGCGAGCGGTTTGGTGAGAGCTCTGAACACGGAGCCGGTGTTTTGTTCTTTTCCTAGGGCTGCTTTTTTTTTACTATTGCTGGTCCCCTGGTCCCCTGGTTGGTTGGTTGTTGGTTGGTTGGTTGCTTGCTTGCTTGGTTGGTTGGTTGGTTGGTTGGTTGGTTGCTTGCTTGCTTGCTTGCTTGCTTGCTTGGTTGGCTGGTTGGTTGGTTGGTTGCTTGCTTGCTTGCTTGCTTGGTTGGCTGGCTGGCTGGTTGCTTGCTTGCTTGCTTGGTTGGTTGGCTGGCTGGCTGGTTGCTTGCTTGCTTGCTTGCTTGCTTGGTTGGTTGGTTGGTTGCTTGCTTGCTTGCTTGCTTGCTTGCTGGCTTGGTTGCTTGCTTGGTTGGCTGGCTGGTTGGTTGCTTGCTTGCTTGCTTGGTTGCTTGCTTGGTTGCTTGGTTGGTTGGTTGTTTGCTTGCTTGCTTGCTTGCTTGGTTGGCTGGCTGGTTAGATGGTCGCTTGCTTGCTTGCTTGGTTGGTTGGTTGGTTGGTTGGTTGGCTGGTTGGTTGGTTGCTTGCCTGCTTGGTTGGTTGGTTGGCTGGTTGGTTGCTTGCTTGCTTGCTTGGTTGGTTGGCTGGCTGGCTGGCTGGCTGGCTTGCTGAAGGGATGAACCTCGGATTCATCCGCTGCAATTTCTCTTCCGTTTTTGGGAGATGCCGCGGATATGCGACCATGTATCCAACGTGAAGAATATTGGTATTGTTTTTGCTTGGCTTATCGCAGTGGGGTATCCGTACGAAGATCTTCCGGTCCATTCCGAGCCGGGTTTCCAAGACTCCTCGTAGAATCTGCGGTTGTGTTCGGAAGCCATGTGCCTCATGGACAAAGCTTTTCAGGAGATTCCCGTCTTTTGCAGGGTACCCTTGTTGGGATTGGTTTCAAAGGGAACCCCCATGTAAACGACTCTTTTGGGGGCTCCTCATTTTGAGACACACCCAAATGTCTTGAATGAATGTTCGGAAGGGATTGAATTCACTTAGTTTGGGGGGTCTTACAGGTTGGTACATGTCAACCACTGGGTTGAAATGGGTGTGTTCAAAGCAACATGGCGGTATCATTTAGATGTTTTTTCATTACCGCCAACAGGGGCTTCCCATTTTAGTTGACATCCCCAATGTGCAGAACATAGGGAATATTCGCAGCAGCCTCACTTGACGGATCCATTTCTTGGGGATATGTTTTCCCAGGCGCTTGCCTGAGACACAGACGCCGCGGCAAGCGGTCAAACCCGGACCTCGGACTTGAGAGCTTTGAGTCCCCGACGCGAATCAAAGGTCTTCTCTTTTTTTTTTTCTCGAGGGAAAATGTAGAGGTGGGTGAAGGTAGCTTGCATGTTTGTTTCATCATTACTTTCGGACAGAAAGGATTTGTGCTCTTCCGGATATGTGTCCATTGACATGACACTTACTATTGCTGCTATTAGTATCATTATTACGACTGTATCTATGACTATTGCTACTACTAAAGCCATTCACGGTTACTATTTCTAACTATTTCGAGTATGGCTGCTGCTACTGTTCGTAGTCACTTTTACTATTACTAGTACTCTTACTGTTGCTATAAAACTTACGATTGCTATTGCTGTTCCCATTACGATCGCCATCGGGATTACTATTGTTGCCAGTACTAATTCTATTACTAGAACTGTTTGTATTCCTATGACTGTAGCCAATGCGATCAGTACTATTATTACTGCAACCATGAGTGCGGTTACGATTGCGATTACTTGATCGATTACGATTACCATCACTCTTATGATTGCTATTACGCCTACTGCTGTTGTGTCCATTTCTGCTAGGACCGCTAAAGCTGTCACTTGTTCTATTACGAGTACGTTTGCCAATGCTAAAGCTATTTTCAGCGTTGTTGTGCTTGTCATGTATGGGTGCCAACTAATAGGGGCTCCCAAAATAGTTGCTTTCCTCATGGTTGCTCTTCACGTCTGAAAACGATACCCAGAAAAAAAAAGAGCACAGACCCATATGTGTATATATATATGGCCACATATGCATATATATATATATATGTATACACATGTACATGTATATAGATATATGTGTGTACATGTCTTGTAACATCCGGTTTCACCCTGGCGTGGGAAGTCCAGGTGCGGAAGTTGCCGGACGGCACCGCCCAAGTCTCCCAAGAGCGGGAGGCGGTCTTGGAAGGTTTCGGGGTCGGGCTTAGCAGGAGTGGGGAATGCTGTGGTTGCGAAATCCTCGAAGGCACCAGCTAAGAAACCATGGTTGAAACCGTAATGATTCTTGGTATTTAAAGGGGACTCATCAGAAACCAGGCGTTCTTAGGTGTTGCGAAATGGATTTCGCCCGTCCTCAATAATAGAACAACAATTGCTAGTAAGAGCAACAGTAGCAATAGTCATAGTCATAGGCAGAACAATAGTGAAAGTACGTGCAGTTTCAATAATAGAAATACATCAGGGTGACAGTACGTGGCACAAATCCATTTTTGTCGGTAAGTGAGGGGCATGACGAAACTAGCACGGGGGAACGAACTGTCATGTTGTCTTCTTTCACCAATGTCTGTATGCATCTTAGCCCTTGTTTAAAATGCTGAGCCAGAAAAACGTGTAAATCCTAGGTTTGGGGTTGAACGTTGAAGTTCCAACAATGATGGATCGTGTTCCAATACTCTCCGATCTTTGTTGGAGGGAACATTGGCTACCATTTTTTCCCTTTTGTTTTTGTGAGAGCCCAACGGAATCTCCTTTTGGAGTAATGAAGTATGGTTGGATGGGACTGAGCCACTTTGGTGTGATTGGACTGATCCACCCCTTCTGTTTCTCGGGGTCGTTTCTGAAATCACCAGGCACTTGCTGGTGCTCAGTGGGGAATCCAGGGTGTTAGGAATGAGCGTGATGCCCTTGCAGGAAACCACCAGTTGGAATGTTTTTTTTCGGGGTCGAGTTCCAATTCTCATTCCCTGCCTATCCCAGCAAGACAAAGAAAAATGCCCTGTTGACCTCGGCCCAACGTGCCTCCGGCAGCTTTGAAAGGATCAGAGCCAATGGCGGCAATGGCGGCGCCTCCGAGCGTGACACCGACGAAAAGCAAGAAGGAGGGCTTGCAAGAGTTCCCGCGCAAGCCGTTGAGAAGACATGAGGATAGTAAGAAGATACTCAAAGAAGAATTAAATTCAATCACAAGTGTTTGGCCCCTAGCAAGTTATGGAGGTGAGCATGGAAGTGGGCGGTTGCACATGCTGGGGGGAGTAACAAAGTTTCATCATGTGATCATAAAGATCCAAGAGTTGGGAAAGAGCCAACCGTGCAAACTTTCGCAAGAACTTTCTATCCCACTGTCAACAACAAATCATCACGTCTTTTTTCTGGGTCTCTTCGCAAATCACTGAGAGAGTCCTCATCCCTTGTCGTCTGCCTCCGGGGGGAGGGGGGGTGGGGGTGCTCGCCGCCCGAGATCGCCGCCTTCGTCGAGTCCAGGAGCAGGAGCAGGAGCAGCTACAAGCGGAGGCCAAGGAGCACCTCAAGACCTTGGAAGGCAGGGTGGTGATCAAGCCCCAGCAGGACGGACGACGGACGACGGAGACGGAATCCACTGGGGGTCCGGAAACTCCAAACCAAATTTGAGGTGGAAGTTCGAGCGACGTTTTTGGGTTCCAAACCTAAAACCAAATTTGAGGTGGAAGTTCGAGCGACGATTTTGGGTTCCAATCCTAAAGCCAAGTTTGAGGTGGAAATTCGAGCGACGTTTTGGGCTCCAAACCTAAATTTTCTAAATGAGGGAACCGTTCGCGAGTTTTTGGGACCAGGTGGAAGAAAGCCTCCAGGAAAAAGACCGCTCTTGAAAAGGTGACCATTGGTGGATGATCGGGAGCTGACTTTGAGGTAGTCTTGAATTTCTGTGGTTTGGATTGGTGCGAAGCGGGTTTGGATTTTGAGCCCCTTGTGGGAGGGCAAATGGGACACCACCCCCGGAACACCTCCAACCAATGAGGAGGAAGCCGACCACTGGTGGTTTGGATTGGTGGGGTTTTGTTGTTTTGGTCGACGGTGACTGGGAACCCGCCCAATCTCCAAGCCAGCAATACAAACCAAGAGGGAAGTGGGTGTTCCGTGCCAACACACCTTTCTCTAGGCCTCATGTTGCTTTTCTTCGAGTGTCAGGAGTTGGCGCAATCTGCCATTAACCATCGGGACAAGAACGCCTGCACCGTCTATGACGAGGGAACCGGGAAGTACAAGTATCGCTCCTGCTGCGGCACGGGCACAGTGGAGCTCGGGGTCTATGGGGCCGGGGTGTCCCTGTGCCTGGGCCTTGAAATGACTTTCATGGCTGTTCCACAAGTATGTTCATGGGGACTGGGGAGGGGCGGGGGAGGGAGCCCAAACAAGCCCTAAATAAGCTGGCTCCCTCCTCCCCTCCCTCCCCCCCAGCCGTCATGATATATCAATGGTCCAAT